CCACACACACACACACACACACACACACACACACACACACACACACACACAAATTTAAGAAGCGACTGCAGCTTAGTTCCAGGCCGACTGTGGCATGTGGTAAGAATCCAGTTTTGTAGTTTGCCACTTGTCCCGATGCCACTTGTGACCCGAAGTGCACACCCACGTATGCACATGCAGACACACGCATACATGCACACATGTACACATGAGCACGCATCCCTCCTTCACTGCTCACCCTGGAGGGCTTGTAGGCCTGAATGCTCTCTGGGCTGGGCCTGGATTCGGGGTAGACCCTCGTAACTTTCTGCCTTTTCCTCAGGCCCCACAGTCCCCGGTTGCCCACGGCTTCCTAGTTCTGGGTCCTAGATCCTCCCGAGTCCCTCAAGGGCTCCCGTCTCGGCATCTGCGTCGTTCAGAGACCAGAGCCGTGTCCGCGCACCAAGCCCACCCTTCTCCTTGGTCCCCGATGCCCACAGCCTTCCTGTGCTTCTTGGGCCGGGCCGGCAGCTCCCACCCAGCTGTCCTCGCCAAGCGGGGACCTCCGGCCTCCCCGAGCCCCGCCTTTGCTGACCTAGCAGTTCCCGTGGCCTGGGCTGCCTGCGCCTGTGGGGCCAGTGTCTGATTGTCCCTGGCGGCGGCGGCAGCCAGAGACAGGCCCCGCGGAATGGGGCACTTAGGCCAGTGCAGGGGCTGCGGCTCTGTCATCCAGCCATGCTTCCTGGGACACGCGTTTCAGCGTGGCTTCCTTTCCCAGGAAGGACGTCACCCTGCGGTCTCATTAACGTTGGCTCAGACTTGCCCCTGCCCTTTGAACAGGCACGGTGAGTGGTCAGCAGGGACCGTGGCTGGCATCCCCGGCTCCTCCCTGGCCCAAGCCCCATGGGGCCCTGGGTGTCTTTTCTAGTCCCGATGCTAAGCGGCTCTTTTTCTTTTCTTCTCTTCCCCACCCTTCTCCTCCTCCTTTGTCATCATCATAATACGAAGCTCTCACTGAGGAAGCTGAAATCGGCCGCAACTTGCATTGGCCAATTTGTATCTGATTCGGCTATTTTGAGGAGGAACAGGAGAAACAGACAGTCAGGATTAATTTGGCTCTCCTCCCAGGTTGCAAGTCGCGCTGGCAACACTTCTCTGGGCTTCAGAAGGAAGGAGGTGGCGGGGTGCTCCGGGGGTTTGCCCTTGCTCTGCGTGGGGCTGTGACCCTAAAACATCCACAGAGCCACGCGGATTATGAAATGCGTATGCTGTCTAGTTCCAAATAGGTGTGGTACTCACCTGGCGCAGGCTGCATCCCCGCCCCGACCTGGCAGACCAGGCCTTGGGTCCCACAGACCCTTGGGTGGCTAGACATGCCCGGACTGGGATGACAAATGATTGTCCACAGCAGCCACACCAGCATCACATCGTCCGGGGTGACTTTGGCCTTGGGACGCTTGAGGCAGACACGGCCCCTGGTGGCAGGCCAGCTACTGCTCAGTGCATCCCCTCACCCTGGGCAGACCTCTGGCACTGGGCCGTGCAGGCTGTGAGAGGGATCTACACCCTAGACTCAGCACAGTTCAGCCATTCTCTGTAGGTGACTTTCCCCCCAGGACCCAGGCCATGTCTGAGGACGTCGGTGTGCTCCTGGCGCCCGGGGGTGGAGGTCAGGGTGCCGCTAACACCTTGCCATGCTCAGGACGGCCCCCGACCCAAACACCAGTAGTGCTGAGGCTGAGAAACCCTGGTGTGAGCAAAACGGGGTGACAGGACAGTCAATGTCCTGTGGTCTTTGGAGGCTTCCTTTCTTCCATCCAAAGCATGTTTTACATTTTTAAACTTTTATTTTGAAATAATCTCAAATCTTTACAGGAAAGTTGCAAAAAGGTTAGACGCTGTCAACATTTTGTCTTGCTTACTTCGACATTCTCTCTAAACACACACTTAGCCTTTCAAAACTAAGTGACAGACCCTTTCTCACTAAATATGACACAGATCTTCTGCAGAACTACAGAACAGTGAGCAAATCAGGGAATTTTGCATTGACGTCATAGTACTATCTACCTCACAGGCCACACTCGAATGTCACTAGCTGTCCCAATCGTGTTCCCTATCCTTTTACTTTCTTGGTCCATAACCCAGCCCGGGACCACACATGGCATCATTCTTGCATTTGTCTCCTTCCATCCAGAACAGGCCTCTGTCCTCTTCTTTCTGAGGGGACAGGACAGTCACTGCACACTGCTGGGGTCTGTCTGCTGTTTGTCTGCAATGCGATTCAAACTATGTCTTTGCCCCGGAGTGAGGCTGTGTCCTCACTTCATCCTGCCTGGTGGCACAAAGCTTCCACCCGCCCCATTTCTGGGAATGCTCACTTGATTACGGGTGTGTCTGGCAGGACCCTCCAGGTGAAGTTAGATTCTTCTCCTATTTATAAGTTTCTTGTAGGGAGAAACACTGATGCTATGTAAACATCCCGTTCCTCGCCATCCCTTGAAGATTCTTGGCTGAAACAATAATTTTGGGTTTTTTTTTTTTTGAGTTGGAGTCTCACTCTGTCGCCCAGACTGGAGTGCAGCGGCCGCTCCCGCCCACTGCAGCCTCGACCTGCTGGGCTCCGGCAATCCTTCTGCCTCGGCCTTCTGAGTAGCCGGAATTACTGGCGCACGCTACCACGCCCGGCTGATTTTTTGATTTATTGTAGAGATGAGGTCTCATTGCCCAGGTGGGTCTCGAACCCACAGGCTCAGGCAATCCACTCACCTGAGTGATAGGTGTAAAGCCTCCCAAAGGCGCGGGATTGCAGGCTGAGCCACCGAGCAGGCTGAGCCAGGCTGAGCCCGGCTGGGTTTTTTTTTGAGTGGGAGTCTCACTCTGTCACCCAGGATGGAGTGCAGTGGCATGATCACAGCTCACCGCAGCCCCCACCTCTGGGCTCAGGCAGTCTTCCCACAAACAGCCTCTTGAGCAGCTGGGGCTACAGACACACACCGTCATACACGGCTAGTGTTTGGTTTGTTTTTGTAGAGATGAGGTCTTGCTATGTTGCCCAGTCTGGTCTCACACTCCTGGCCTCAATGATTCTCCTGCCTTGGCCTCCCAAAGTTCTGGGATTACAGGTGTGAGCCACCACACCCGGCCAACAACTGTTTCTATAGAGGTTGCAAACTAGGGTTTTTCTTGCCCTGTTTTATCCAAGGCATTTTTGAGCTCCCCTGGGTTGGAAGCTGGCTTGGGTGGCTGAGGTCCTTGAGGGCCTGTAGGTGGGTGGGAGAGTAGGGAGGGGTCAGTGCCTCAATGGTAGTAGCACTCTCCGCCCAGACACGCAGCAAGTGGGCGTCCCTGGGGAGGACCTGGCAGGAAGACCAGGGAGCACGAGGTCATGGCCTTCATCACGTGCGTGTCAGGGGTTTGGACGCCGGATTGAGGGTCTGTGCCTCACCCGGCCACAGCTGGGAGGTGCTGAGGGCTGGAGGGAAGACTGTGAGCTGTGCTGGGCGGGGCCTTGAGGGTCTTGGCACCCACCGGCCTGCCATCCGGCCACTCGCTCCTGGGCTTATGGCGAGTGGGATCTGCAGAGGGACTCAGAGTGGCTCCCGGGCTCGAGGAGACACATCTCCCCAGGCCCGGTGCCTGGTTGGGAGGCCTGGCCAAACCGGGCATCCAGGCGCGTGGTCTGGCCTCTCAGCAGGGTGGCAGGAGCGCACTGCAGGCCCCAGGAAGGGCAGGCAGGGCTGGGCCACTCCTTAGCGGGCAGCGGCCTTTCCTGGGCATTTACAAGGAGCGACCCCCAAACCCCCGAATTGCCTTTTGGAAGGCAGGCCCCTGGTAGTACCGGCTTCCCCCCCCCAAGGAAGCGTTCTAGGAACCGTTGGCATCAGCGTACCAGCTATCGTGTGGTGAGAAACTATCAGTGATTTTTTTGGTGTTGAAATTCTTTCAGTCCGCTTACCCATTTCGTGATGGGTGATTTAGGCGTGTGCCTGCCCGCCCCGTACTGAGTGTTCAGCAGTCTCGGACCCAAGAGGGCATGACCCCCATGATCCACCCTCCCTGTCCAGCGGGCCTTGCCCCCCACTTTTTTGTTCCTCCGGATGGAAAAGGTCCTCAAAGGGGAGTGTTTTGCCGATGTGGAAGAGGTGAAACCAAAAATGGCACAAGCGCTCAAAGGCATCAACACGAACAAGTTCAGAAACTGTGTAGAGCAGTGGAAAAAGTGTCTGGATAGGTGTAGTGCCTCAAACAGATAGTACTTTGAACGTGACTGAAGTTTAAACATGTCAGACTAGACATGCGATTTTTCATGACTATGTTCTGGGTTTGGGGGGTCCCCCCGCATTTTCTCTGGTGAGGATGTGGACAGGAGAGTGAGCTCTGGGTCCACAGCCGGACTACTTGGGTTCCCGTCCTTGCTCCATGGGCCGGCCTCCTTGAGCCTAGGTTTCCCTGGCTGTCAAGCGTGGCCTGTGTCTCGGAGGGCGGCAGAGCGGCCTCCTGGGGCTGTGGCGGCCAGAAGCGAGGGGCGAGGGTGTGTCATCGGGTGCCCACTCCGCCCTCCGTCCCTGCAGAAGGAGGAGGTGTGTGGGAACCTGACGCTGCAGCACCACATGCTGGAGCCCGTGCAGAGGGTGCCCCGCTACGAGCTCCTGCTCAAGGACTACCTGAAGAGGCTGCCGGGAGACGCCCCAGACCGGAAGGATGCCGAGCGTGAGTCGCGGTGGCTGCAGGCCGAGGGCTCCTGGGAGGGTGCCTCAGAGACCGCTGGGGCTCTGGGGCTGCCACAGCCATGCCTGGCAGCACAGGGCAAGGGCCTGCAGGAGAGGAAGAACCTCCCCTTCCACCCCTGGAGTCGGTGCTTCCCTTTCCCCTGGCCAGGAACCCCCCAAAGGCTGAGAGCAAGCCCAGAACCCCTCACAGAGGCAGCTGCCTGAGCTCCAGAAGAGCCCCAGGTGAGCGTGTGCAGAACCCCATGCGCCGAGGCTGACCGGGTCTCCCTCCTGCAGGGTCCTTGGAGCTCATCTCCACCGCGGCCAACCATTCCAACGCCGCCATTCGGAAAGTTGTGAGTTTGGGGCTCCTGGAGGAACCCGGGGGGGCCTGGCAGGGCGGTGCCGGGGGTGCAGCGGCAGGGGGCCCTTGAGTGAGCACCCTCCCTCCATCCCCCAGGGAGTCAGGGGCTCCTTCTCGGTCTGGACGGGCCAGCCCCTACTAGATCTGGGATCCTTGGTAACTTATCTAGTGCTCCGTGCCTTAGTTTCCTCCTCTGGAACATGGGGGCCCTAAGAGTACCAGTCTCGTTGGACAGTGGTGAGGATACAAGAATCCCTCTACGCAGAGTGCTCAGAACACGACCTGGTGCAATGTCCGCTCTCAGTGTTACTGTCACTGGTTTGTTCATTCACTTGCGGAAGCTGTGTTAGTCCCTTTCATGAACTGACTCTGTGCTCCCCCAGCCCTGCCAGCCCATGCCAGGTGCATGCGGTTCTTTACCAGTACACTCCAGGTGAACTCTTAGCATCTCTTAGTACACTCCAGGTGCATGCTGTTCTCCACTGAACATTCCAGGTACCTGTGGTTCTCTATAAATACACTCCGGGTGCATCCACATCATCCCTAAGTGCACTCCAGGTGCACGCACTACTCCTCCAGTGCACACAGGCACATCCTCAGCCCTCCGTCGTGTACTCTAGGTCCATTCTCAGCTCCCCTAGCAAACTCCAGGCACACACCCAGTCCCCCGGGACACTCCAGATGCATCCTCAGCCCTCCCTAATACACTCCAGGTCAATCCTCAGTCCCTCAAGTGTGCTCCAGGTACACACTCAGCCCCCCAGACACTCCAGGTGCATGCAGTTCTTCACCTGTACACACCAGGTACATGCAACTCACCACCAGTACACTCCGGGCATGTGCAGTTCACTACCCGTGCATGCAGGTGCACTCAGCTCTCCACTAGTATACTCCAGGTGCATGCATGCAATCTGCCACCAGTATGCTCCAGGTGCATGCAATTCTCTATTAGTGCACTCCAGGTGAACACCCAGCTCCCTTAGGACACTCCAAGTGCACACCAGCACCCCCCTCCACAATAGAGGGAGCTGCACACCAGCCCCCCTGTTTATACACCAGGCGTCTGCTGCTCCCCCCAGTCCCTGAGAAACCCTCGGCCCCTGTGTGCCCCTCCAAGTTCTCTGCTGCTGGCTCCTCCAGGGCCCTCCACACCCTGTGCTGTGCTGTGTGGTCTGCTGCATCTCCCAGGTCGTTGCCACACTGGCCTGCCCCCAGAGTGTGCAGACTGAGGCCACTCCAGCCCAAGGATAGCAGCTGGGAGGCATAGTGGGTCCAGACTCGGCCATGTCGCTGTCATAGAGGTTCCTGCGGGCTCAGCACTGCCTTCTGCTGTGTTGGCATCCAGCTCAGACCCTGTCCTATGGCACTGTGCTGGTGACCAGCCCCACCCTGTGCCTGTCCATGTGGCCACAGGAAGGTGACACATGGATTGGCTGAGTCTGGGTCTCAGACATTCAACTGACTGCTCCAGTTTCCTTGCCTGTAAAGCGGAGCTAATAAGATACCCACCTCATAGGGTTGGTGGTGGAATTAAGTGAGTTAAAACACTTATTGTGTATAGAACAGCACCTGGCTTGTCGAAGTGACGCTAGCTGTTGGTATTTACTACCATTTTATTATTCTCTACTTGGTGAATTTCTATTCATCCTTCAGTGCTCCACTCAAACCTCACTCTATGTTTTTCCTCCCATCTTGTTGTTGTAGCTCATTGCCATCTCTTGATTCTGGGTCACAGCTGCAGGGCAGGGCTCCGCACCTCTGGGTCCTCAGATGTCCCCACAGGCCTTGGGTCCCTGTGTCTTTGCATCTGCCTGAGAACCATGTCTCTTGTAGGAGAAAATGCACAAACTCTTGGAGGTGTACGAGCAACTGGATGGAGAGGAGGACATTGTCAACCCGGCCAACGAGCTCATCAAGGAGGGCCACATCCAGAAGCTGTCGGCCAAGAACGGCACCGCCCAGGACCGCCACCTCTTCCTGGTGAGCCGGCCCCACCAGCCAGGCCACAGGGCCTCCCTCCCTCCTCCCTCAAGCCCTGGGAGGTGACGGCAGGGCCCTGGCTGCCCTCGGACATGGCTCTTCTGTGGCCTCCCCTTATCTGAGCTGCCCAGAGCACCACCCTGAGCCGCGGAGAGCCTCGTTCCCTCCCCATCCAAACACCAAGTGGGCAGCGGCAGCTCTGTCCTATTTGCCGAAACATCTCAGTTTTATCCCTCCCAGCCAATGTCTCTGTTCTCCCTCACCCACCTCCGCTGGAACTGAGAAGACTCCAGTTTATAGCGACGAGGAGAGCACAGAGAACTGTAGCGACGTGTCCTGATTTAACTAGCCCAGAACCAGCCCTGGCCTGGAGGGAGGGAAAAAGGACAGGAAGGCAGTCTAGAAGAAACTGCCTGGGCACCCTGGTGTGGGAGGAATGCCCATGATCCTTTTTGTCCTTTCCTTTTCCTTCTGGTGACCGATGCTTCTTCAGCAAACCATGATTTCTTTGGGAGGTTTTTTTTTTCAAGTTTTTAAAATTTGCATTCAGCACAACTCGCTTTTGCCCTATAGTTCTGAGTTTTGACAAGCGCGGTCGTCATCACAGTCAAGTTCCAGACCAAGTTGGCCACCCCCGTTCCCTTGTCCTGCCCCTCTGTGCCCAACCCTCAACGCTCCCTGCCCCCATCCCTGCCCCAGCGGCCACCATCGTCCGCGCTCTGTTTCTGTAATTTTGCCTTTCCCAGAATGCCACACGAACACCAAGAGGTGAGTCTGGCGTCTTCAATCAACATGAGCCTTTAAGAGCTGCATCCCTGAGGGTGCATGTGTCAGTAGCTCATTCGGGAAGGTTTTTTGGTTTTGTTTTTTATTACACAATGAGCCCATGTTCATGAGCTGAACATTTTAAAAGAGGCTGGGCAGGGTAGCTGACACCCGTAATCCCAGCACCTTGGGAAGCTGAGGTGGGAGGATCACTTGAACCCAGGAGTTCACGACAATGAGGGCAGCATAGGGAGATGCTAGTGTCTCCACAAAAAACCAAAAAGTAGCTGGGCATGGTGACATGTGCCTGTAGTCCCAGCTACTAGGGAGGCTGAGGAGGGAGGATTGCTTGAGCCTATGAGATCCAGGCTGTGGTGAGTTGTGATTGTGCCATGGGCAACGGAGTGAGTCCCCAACTCAAAAAAAATTCTGCCTGAACAACATAGTGAGACCTTGTCTTTACAAAAAAATTAAAAATTTGGCTGGCTGTGGTGGTGCACACCTGTAGTCCCAGCTGTTAAGAAGGCTGAAGTGAGGGGATCGCTTGAACCCAAGAATTTGAGGCTGTGGTTAGCCATGATCATGCCACTGTACTCCAGCCTGGGCAACAGCGTGAGACTCCAACTCAAAAAAAAAATGAGAAATAAGACAAAAATAAAACTAGCATCTATAGATCGTCTCCTTGCACAAAACTGTAGCCATAGTTAAAATCACCGTGCACATCTTTTTAAAACGCTTTTTACTTTATGACGTCGGAGGAGACTTCACAATGGCCCATGAGGCGCTCCCGAGGGCCTCTGAGGCCCGATGGTGCTGGCTCCGCCCCCACCCATGCCCACCCCTCTTGCAGTTCAACAGCATGATCCTCTACTGCGTGCCCAAGCTGCGGCTCATCGGCCAGAAGTTCAGTGTCCGGGAGAAGATGGACATCTCAGGCCTCCAGGTGGGTGAGCCCCTCCTTCCCAAGCCTGTCCCCAGAAGGGGAACCGAGCAGGGCCGGGGACACCGGCATGTCTCAGCCTCACTCTGGTGCAGACTGGCACCCCCCTCCGCGTCCCCAAGACTCGGACTCTCTCTGCGACCAAGGCATGGCGGGGATGGCGCCTCAGCCCTGGCGTCCTGGGCTGGTGGGCAGGATCCCCCTTCTCTGCCTGGCCCCCCTGCCAAGTCGCTTCCATCTTGAGCTTAAAGGGCAGGACCCAGAGAGGAGGCTGTTCGAACACTAATGTGCACAGCCGCGGGGGCCACGGGACAGTGCAGACGGCCCCAGGCCCTGGACCATCCCGTCACCTCTGAGGCTGGGACCCAGAGATGAAGCTGAAGGTTGCAGGGACAAAACCAGGATGGGGGGAGGGCCTTGCCTGGCCCCTGAGTCCTGAGCTTTCTCCTGTCCTGCACCGTCTTGGGACCAGGATGAGGGCTCGAAGAAAGGCCTTTGTCTTTGCTGCCCCTGGTGCCGAGAGCCTGTCCTGTGTTCCACTGCCATGCGGGCCAGGGGGGGAGCTAGAATAGGTCCCTGTCCCCTGTGAGGAGGGCCTTGGATTTATGGATGCTCCAAAAATATTTGCTAAATCAAAGTATGTAAACATTTCAAAGAGCAAAGATTTACTTAAATGACACCCCAAATCTCTTCTTACCTTGACACTCTCTGAATTCAGGTGAAGAAATACCATTCGAGGTAATGACTAGTTAGAGAAATAATATCTTTTCTATAGCTTGAGGAAACCATTTTTCTAGTGTTTACAAGACATCAGTTGTAATCTAATCAATTTCATGTGTCGGTGCAGAAGGTTTTACCCTGTAGATTGGGGAGTCTGGAGATTCTGGGAAGGGTCCAGGGTCAATATTCCCATAAAGCCACTGACTGGCTGGTGGGCTGGTTCTGATGGGGGCTTGGCCCAAGGACCCCCGGGCTGCTACATCTGCCTCAGTGCGCCATGGTCTTGTCCCGAGGGAACCTGAGGCTGTGGGTCTATGAAGAAATGACTATTTCACCAGTTCTGTGGGCACAGTGTCCTGTTTACGGCTCTGAACTCTGGTGGAGCAGGGTGTGGTGGCACACACCTGTAGTCCTAGCTACTCAAGGGGCTGAGGAGAGAGGATTGCTTGAGCCCAGGAGTTGGAGGTGGCAGTGAGCCATGATGGTGCCATTGCACTCCAGTCTGGGTGGCAGAGTGAGACCCCCATCTCTCAAAAAAAAAAAAAAGCAAAAAAGTCTGCTCAGGGGTCTTAGATGTCTTCAGGGCAGCCAAGGCCATCCTGGCTCTTCTCACGGATCCTGAGCCCTTCCAAGGGAGGCATGTTGCTGCTGCAGGAGCCAGGGCCTGGTGCTGCTGGAGGGGAATGTCTCGGCTCCCCCGGGTGGCTGGGGTGACATCAGAGGAGGTCTGAGGGGCTGGCAGGTTCAGCCGGCAGCGATACAAGCCCAGAGGGTGAGCGGTCCCAGCATGTCTGGGCAGTACATGTGGCCCCCCCGGGCTTGCTGGCGCAGCCACTGCGACCCCCGAGGCTCGGGGCCCCCTCCCACAGACCCGAGTGGCTGCGAGGTCACCTCTGCCGCCTCCCCGGGGAGACATCTCCAAGTCAGAGATCAGGAGGCTGGCGTTAAGGACCTGCTAAAAGGGCCGTTTGCTTCGTTTATAGCTTGTTCTTTGTCTGGGTCCCTTCAGGTGCTGGACATCGTCAAGCCAAACGCCGGGCATACGTTCACCATAGTGGGGAAGAAGCGGTCCCTGGAGCTGCAGGCGCGGTACGGTTTCGCGCCCCGGTGTCTGCGGGCCGTGAATGTCTCTCCCCGAAGTGCCAGCACATGCTCTCTCCCCCCTTAAACTGGACAGCTTTCCAATATGTGTTTGTGTATTTATTCGTGGTTTAAAATGTAACACTATGAAGGGGACGTCCGTGAAAATTAAGCCTCTGCTCACCTCCTGCTCCCGGGCTCAGCATCTCTGCAATATCCTTCTAGGGTGTTCTGTACACACACACATATCGCACATACATCTACTTTTAAAATCACAGGTAGCTGTTCACTGCGCAGGCTGTCCTGTGTCTTGTTTCCTGTAATTTATCAGAATCACTCCAGATCTGGGCACCATTTCCTAGAGCAGTGGAATTCTCCACTGTGAGCGTTAGCAGCTCCCACAGGCAGGACCCAGGCTCCTCTTGGTCTTGCTGTTGCAAACGGTGCTGCAAGCAGCTGCTGGGATGCAGGCTTTTGCACGCAGGTGTCGTCTCGGTCGTTGGGTAGATTCCCGAATTGCTGGCCAAGGGGAGTGCTTCTGTTTCAAGCTGTGGTGGCTGTTGTCACACTACCCTGCAAGGTGAGGCGCAGCTGCAGCCCAGACTGCTGTCTCCCACGTCCAGCCAATGCTGGGATCTCTGTAAAGACCCAGTGTGGTCCGAGGATGTGTGGATTTACATTTCCTGCAGAGGACTCCACATGGTACCCCTGGCCCCATCGGACCACGAGGTTTTCTGACCCTCAGGAGCAATCTTCCACACTTGGGCTACACTGACAAGAGAGCCAGCAGCTCAGGCGTGCGCCACGGGGCTGAGAGGAGGCTGGTGGTGTATAGTCAGTGTGCAAGACTGGATTAGTAAAGCACGGCTTTGGTTTTACAGGACAGAAGAAGAGAAGAAAGAATGGATTCAGGTGAAGCTCCCCAAGTTGTAATGCCACCAAACGACCAAGTGGTGGAGCAGCATAGCCACTCACGTTCGGGCAGAGAGGGAGGGTTCCTGGGCCCGGCACCGCAGGACCCCTGTGTCCCGCCTTGAGGGGGACGGTGACCATGTTGTGCCCTTGGGAACACCTGCAGATGCCACACACCTTCCAATCCACGCGCTTGTTTGAGGCCCCCTAATAGCCAGACCTCAGCAGGGCCGGGGGAGCTGCAGGCTGGGCGTCCTCTCCCTGGGTGGGTCTCCAGGCCTGACGTCTCCAAGGGAGAGCCAGTCTGGTGGTCAGGAAAGTGAGAGACAGTGGCCCCGGCGGCGTGGTGTGAAGGCCAGGACCCATCCTCGTGACAGTGGCAGGCACTGTCCTCGCCTGCCCTGACGGTCCTCGCCGCCCTGCTGTCGTGTTCAGATCATCCAGGCCACCATTGAGAAGCACAAGCAGAACAGCGAGACCTTCAAGGCCTTTAGCAGCGCCTGCAGCCCAGATGAGGACCCCGGCTTCCCTCCAGACATGCCTGTGAGTCAGGGCTCGGGTTGTGGAGGGACCATGGGGGAACGGGGCTGTCTGCCAGGGAGCAGAGGGGCTGGTGTCGGGTGGGACATTCATCCCCCTGGTGCCGGGGCCAGGGCTCGGGGCAGCTGGTGATGTGCGTCACCTGTGTGGAAGGAAAACCTTAGATGAGTTAAACTGAACAGAGCTTAGAAGAGCAAAGGCTTGTTTGCGAATCAGTCAGTCCCTGAACCAGAGTAGGTTCAGGACTCCGGCACTGCCGTGTGGTCAGGAAGGATTTATGGGTAGAAAAGGAAAGTGACCTGCAGAAGATGGAAGTGAGGGACAGAAACAGTGGGACTGGGCCGAGTCCGGTGGCTCACACCTGTAATCTCAGCACTGTGGGAGGCGGAGGTAGGAGGATTTCTTGAGGCCAGGCGTTCAAGCCCAGCTTCGGCAACATAGCAAGACTTCCATCTCTATAACAGCAGCAACAAAAACATCCCCAAACTAGCTGGGTGTGGTTGTGCACGCCTGAATTCCCAGCTACTCAGGAGGCTGAGGAAGAAGAATCATTTGAGTCTGGGAGGTTGAGGCTGCAGTGAGCTGTGATCATGCCACTGCACTCCAGCCTGGGTGACAGAGTGATACCCCCAACTCAAAAAAAAAAATGAAGGAAAGAAGGAAGGAAGAAAGAGCGGGACTGGTTACAATTGGGTGTTTGCTTCCTTTGAATCCAGTTTGAAAAATGGGCCCCCTTTGATTGACTGAAACTCTGATATTGGCACCAGAATAGGTGACAGTCTGTTTATACATGCAATCAGGTGACAGTTGACAGTTCACTATGTATGGAGACAGCTCTAGGTCAAACTTAAAATACGTGAGGAACTAGCCTTCGGCTAAACTTCACACCGGCCCTTTACTGAGTGGGTACCAGCCTGCTGGGCCCCAAGGCCGGGGTCAGCACCCAGGTGGGTGGACAGTAGGGTGTGACATGAAGGAAGTGCTGCTTCTGAGCTGTTGTGTTCACACAGCAGCCCTGTGCCCTGGGGGTCATTCCTCACCTCCCTGGAGACTGAGTCTTGGAGAAGCTCACTGATGGGCCCAGGCCACGGGCCACAGGCCCAGGCCACAGGCGGTGGACCCGGCATCACAGAGATGCCTGCGTGCCACTCTGCCCGACCAGTTTGTCCAGTAACTGCAGACACCTTTTTGTGGTGTGTATTTCGGTACCTTTTTGAGAAGTGGTAGCTCAGAGCCCTTTGGCAGGAGCAGTGAAAACAGCTCGCTTCCCGACCGACCCCGTGGGGAGCTGCCCTAGGGGTCCGGGGGGATTTTGTGTGTCGACTTGAGCCACGCAAGAGGCAGAGTGCAGGGTACCCCAGAAGGGCCATGAAGGGGGTGAGGGCTGCAGCCTAGGACTGAGCTGCAGCCTCGGCCGGTCCTCCCACCTGGGCTTCCCTGGAGTCTAGAGGGTGGGACAAGGAGGTCGATCTCTGCCCCGAGAGGAAGGCTCCGAGAGGCTGGTCCTGGGCAAGGTGTAGGGGCTGGGGCTTCCGTGAGGACACACTCGAAGGCCCCAGTCAGGCCGCGCCCAGGAGAGGC